CATCCTGCATACTTACATACACGTAGGCAACTTGAATACGAATTTGCCTACAACAAGTCCTTTGCCAATCAATCGAACCCGGAGAGATGGAAGGCTTGGTTGGCCTTGACTACGAATTGCAGAGGATTTGATCCCCGGACCGCCCAGTGGTAAGCAGCGCCACTTGCCACTACACCACGTTCGCCTCTATGTTGAGGGCAAAGAAGAAAAATGGAATCCTCGGAAATGTAATTAAAGTAGAGCGTGTGAAACACATAGTCCAACAACGACATATTCGAAGAATTTGCGCTTTTGGAGAATGAAAGGATCGGGGTTGTGTTTTACGGTTAGGAGCGACCAGCTGCATTTGGGGTAGACTGGCATTAGTTTGTTGTGATTTGCTGAAGATCCAGAACACATAGTTGAAAGCGCACTTTGAGTATGGTGGATGCGATAGCTGGGGACTAAAACAACGAATTCTTACCGTAATGTTCCCTCTTTCGGTCTTGCCAGGTCTTGGGCAAGTGGATTTTGAGTACATATCAACTGCACTCTTGCTGCTCATTTCGTCTGCTAAAGGAACTTAATCCTTGTCCAAAAAATGATCCCTGAACATGTACAGTGCGCGTCAATTGTATATGCCACCCCCTGATTTTTTCAGTTTTCTGACTTATTTGGAAATTTCGTAAATCGGCATAGCAACCATCGTTTCGGCGTGTCGGAAAACTAAGAATGGTGTTGTTTGATTTTGGTTAACGCGTGGATTTGAATTGCTCTGTTCTTTTGAAGAAAATGGGCCGCGTCAATTGCTTATGCCATCCTAAAGTTTCTTCAGAATTTCTCATGTCTCTAACGCTATTCAGCTACGGTGTGCATGTAGTACAAATGAGGAAATCCTCCACTTATGCAATGCACACAAATGGTGGAGCATTTATAACTAATTAGTTCGGAATATTAGCCCTTATACTGGACGGTAGCAGCATGAAAACGCTTTATCAGAGAAAGTGCTGTGTGCTCACTCTTGCGATCGCTCCTGCTGCTTATTGTAGAACTCATCGAGGAGTGTATCCAGGCAAAACTGGGGAAATTGAAGTGCTCAAGGAG